ATGGTGTATCATTTTCCATCCTTTTACTTTCAATCTGCTTTTGTACTTAGAGGATAACTACAAACAGCTGGCTCTTCTTTTTTCATCCAATCTGACAATCTGCCATTTAATCCAAATGTTGTCCATTTACATTTAGTTATTGATATGGTTGATTTTCCAGTTTGCTTCCCCCCCTTATTCTATATTGGTCTACAGTTTCAGTTTTGGGGTGCTACTTTTATCAGGTTTGATATCCATGTAGTCACCTCAAAAACCCACATTTTTTTTTCTAAAACATGTTTTGTGAGGCAAATGTAACATTGATAATCACCTAATGAAGAGGCACTAAAAAAGATTACTGGCTTTTGGGTCTGGACTTTTTTTTGTACAATAGTTTATAATTTGCCCAATCTCTAATTCAGAAATTAGTGTTAGTTTCGTTTACTGAAATCAATTTTGTTCATTTTTTTTTCTAGGAAATTATCAATTTCATCTGTATTTTCAAACTTATTTGTGCCAACAGTTTTTTTTTGGCTATTAAGATTTTTAAATGTCCTGCTTTTTTTTACATCTGTGTTTTCTCTCCTTCCACATCTCCACCCCTTTTTTGATTATGCTGGCTTCCAGAATTTACAGATGCCATCGGGGGCTCCCTTTTATACATTTACTCCTGAATCGTGGCCTTTTGATCCCTTTCTTGGTAATTTCTCAATGCCTTAGCACAGGTCTTTTATACTTTGTCCAGATTTTCTAGTCCTCAGCAAGAGGGTTGAATTCATACACTACCATTTTACTGAAAACAGAACTTTTACTATTTAAAAAAAAAAAAAAGGCTTCACAAAGTTTGTGTAAATATCTCCTCAGTGGAAAATTCGAACAATGTGTAAGTCAGTACTACTGGGTCTGGGTCTGACAAATAGGAACCATTTTATAGAATGTTTGTATAGTGGGGTTGTCTGGATTTGCTTTGGGGTTAATTTCTATTGATCCTTTCCACTACCCCAGCCTATGAAAGTGAAGTAGGCAAGGTAGAGAAGAAAAGCATGCTGATTCAGATCTTCACCACAGGAGGGCGGTCTGAACCGGAGACATCTGTAAACCACCCTTCTAGCGCGGTCAATGGAGGAGCTCACTAGATTGTTTATTGATGGCGGAAATCAGGTTTCTGCAGTCAAGGAGGTAGAAGATATGTGGAAAAACAGAAGGCCTGCCTGGCAGTTTCGCTTGATTTTTGGGTAAGACTCTGCCTTTGCCAGGTCATGTGGCCATGAGACATGAGTCACAGAACTGAGCAGTTTCAACACCAACCACCACCTGCACACACACACACATCCATCCATTAGGATACAGAAATATATACACACACACACACACACACACATTATGATCAGCATGTTTGTGGGCGATATTTTGCCTTAAACACACACACACACACACACACATAACTAAACCATTCAAGTAAAGAGAATGTTTACAGAACAATTAAAAATGAAAATCCAAAGGGTTTATGCCAAAAAGCAAACCAGTCTTCTGCAACCTAACTCAATAGGACTCAACAGACTCATGTGGATTCTCACATGTTCTCTGAAGCAGAGAGAGAGAGTGTGTGTGTGTGTGTGTGTGTGTGTGTTGGGGGAAGGGAGGAGGATTGTTAACGATACCCGTGTGTGTGTGTGTGTGTGTGTGTGTGTTGGGGAAACTTCAGAACCACATGGCCTGGAAAATGGCTCCATACCCAAGGATTTCAGCAGCAAGAGTCAAACCACAAGTAGACATAATTTGTTGGTATAAAGTTTTACCACTTCTGAGATGCTGCAGAGCTCTCTTCAGAGTAAAGAAAGTACCTTTTCTGTTTTCTCCCACAGTTCCTAGCAGTGTTCAGAGTATGAATATAGGAAATGAATTTATCACACTGCTCTATTTTGTTGAATCTATATTCAGTTAGTATGGCTACTTATAAAACACAGTTTAAATGCTATAATCCTCCCTCACCTCTAGAGTTTTGTAACCTGCTTTTTCCAAACTTCTTCCCTTCTACTGTACACCAATAAATTATAGTTATGGAAGCTCTGCAAAATTTATCTTGGCTTTCTTTGCAATGATGTCCTCATGCTAAATTGTATATTTATACACGGTCTTAAAAATTTGGTTAAATGTTTTATACTTGATCCCGGTTTTTAAAAAATCTGTAATGAATGCCTCCATGGATTCTTGAAGTATTATTGGGCCATGTCAACATCTATCAATCACAGTAAGTGTATTTTGCAGGGTGACAAAAAAATCAATTAACATTGCATTCTATATTTAATAATTACAGTAAAAGTATTTTGGTAGATTTTATTCACATAAAATGTTTTAATCATAAGCAAAATCATTGCAAAATCATTAACTATGAATTCAGACATTATAGTCAAAATATATTTTACTTCAACTTAAGGCACTACATACAGATTTCTTTAAAGCACACTCATGTCATTTTATTTACACACTATTTTAAGAAGTAACAATAAAATACATACTTCCCATCTTTGTCCTTCATTTATAACTTTATGTATTCACAACGACGTAAAACCCTCCAAATAAAAGGAATTAAATGCCATCATCCTTAAAGCTTACCAGATACAGACAAGAGAGGGAGACACCCAAGAACAATGCAAAGGCCTTTTTAATCTTTTAATGTTCCAAGAATTTTATCTTTAAATTCTTATACCAAGCTTAATGAAACAATAACACAAAACCTATAGTACACAGCATTGGAATAATTTATATTAGAATTCTATTGCTGTTTACCAGAAGAACTTGCACATTAATAACAGCAGAACTGTCCTTATTTTATAAGTAAATGCTCTTACTCTGAATTCACTCACTGAATTAACAAAAACCACTCAGTAAGTTTTCCTATTACCTTTGACTATCGTTGTCATAAACAGTTAAATGTTTCCTGGAGCCAAATACTTTCCATCACCTAGAAAACATGGCAGGATATTAGCCAATTATTTAACAAAACACATACCAAAACCTCAGTGTAAAAAGCTGGCTTCACTAAAGGATTTTCTCAGTGTACCCATTGGCTTTAACAGTGATAATTTTGTAAAGATACAAATGAATTAACATAAATTTCAAAATAATAACATATAAACGTCTCTGTGATTAAATAAATACTGTTTTCTCCCATCAGCATATATACAAAAAAATTTACAATTTTAATTAAAGTTAATATTTTGAGAATGGAATGAAAGACAAGACAAATAGGTAAATGTCTTGTTCAAAGGATTAAGACATTGACAGAGTATCCCTCCCATTCCATCCCATATGAAATCCACTCACAGGCTAGATGCTACATATAGATTTCTGAAACTCATAACCACCAATCAAACTAATGTAATCACTAAAACAGCACTGCAAGGACCAAGCTCTACTGAACTAGTATAAAATATCCTGCTATTATTTTAGATACTTCAAAAAGTGTCCCCTGTGTTAAATGTGACTGTCCTTTTTTTAAATGGAAATTGAGACAGAAAGAAATTTTTCTATTATTTTGTTCAGAAAACCTCTAGGATAACTTTTATGTGAGAAAAAAATGAAATAAAATTTGTCAAAAAGCAAAATTAACCCTACTGGTTTTATTTCATTTATTTACAGTCAACTTATGACCAATAGCATGAACTGTTTATACAGGCTGTAGAAATGCTTTTCAAGAACCCCCAAAACAATAGGTACCGAATCCTTGGGTCACAAAATGAGCAGTGACCAAATAGGATGAATTCTTTGTCTAATGATTAGTACCATTGTTCTTTACCATCACAGATAATCAACACTTAATTGGGTTGCATATTTATTGTAGATAATTTTTTTATCTGTAAAAGTTACCTAGTTTATTTTATACTGTCAAAACTTTAAATATCACACTATTAATTGCTTGCATCAGGTCCTGATGGATGGTTCCTGAACCCCATTTTTCCTTTAACAGTTACAATCTTGTCTGCCACAAGTCAGTTTCTGCATATTACTTTTGATTATTAGAAAGTACCACCTAGCAAAGTTGGATGGCAGTTCTTCACAACAAATCCTTAGCTCTGAACATGTATGTTAAAAAATAATCAGAGCAGGGTAAATACTTCTGTGAACCAAACACTAGAGAAACAGCAGGGGCAGCACTCAGGCTACAGAATGTTAACAGTGCTTAGAGTTTATTCTGCCACTTAACACAGGAATAGTGGGAAAGATGCAAAGATACCAAATTCCATTTTAAATTTAACTACTTATTGCCTAAAAAGTAAGGCATAGACGTCCCAAAGGTAGATATCAAAATCTCCCTTCCTCGTTCTGACCCAACTGAAGCCAGATTCGTATTCAGGTCATACATTTTTTTTTTTTTTTTAACAGCACTTGGATATCTCTGGCTACAATAGCAACATGAGAAAGTAAAACACGGTAACAAAAACTAAGGAACTTTCTTAAGTTATGACTTTAGCTTGTGAGTCATTAAAGAAAGTAAACAAATATGAAGTGCAAATATACCCTTTGCTGAGAGCCACATTCCGTGGGAATGTGGAAGTCAGCCCATAGACCAGCCACTCTGACCGCCTCGGTCAGTCACAGGAAGTCTACACATTCATACACACAAACACACTTATACACACGTGCATTTGCGTGCATGCACACACACACACACAAAGGAACTTCCACGATGGCATTAAGCACAGAGAAAAGCAATTCTTCACACACACACACACACTTATTAGCAAAAATCTTCAAAAGATTTCTTTCCTGACTTCAATAGCTTATGAATCTTAACAAAAACACAATGGTGAAGACTCAAGCTTTGTATCACATGGTCTTTGTTGTGTTTTTTATAATAGTTTTTCTTAAAATAATTTCTTCATATGCTAGATCTGTTCTGCCTGGTAAACCAATTTTATTAACCATCACAGAGGTCTTCCTACGTCACAGGTTTACTTGGGATATAAACTCTATTAAAAGTTATTAAGTATAAAAATATAGAAAACTTCTCCTTCCAGATACACAAAATCCACTAATTGCATAAAGATTTCTGTTGTTTCAGTTACAAATATAAAAATCTATTAGAAAAGCATGCCTACTAAATTTTGATATATTTTTATTTAAAAATGTGTCAAATCTTCATTGCAAAAAAAAAAGGCAGAGGCAATATTTTTCATAAAAAAAAGTTTCCAGTTAGAGAAACAGTTGGTGTTAACTAATGATTTACTAGCAATTTTTACTATGGTCAGGGTTTTTTGTATTAGCTGATGCACCAAAACAAAGCACAAGGAAAAACAAAATAATTCTAGCATACTTGGTCTAAGTTGTCTTTCAAGGTATATTTTTCATCGTTAGAACACCATTTCTTGAGTATATCCTTGGTATTGTGACTAATCAAAGATAAACTCCAGCACATGTTACTCAATTAAAGGATCATCGTCGTCTTCTTGCAGCTGAAGTCGGGAAAATGGACGGGGTACGGACAGTCTATTCTGCATGATTATAATGAGGCATGTTAGCGTGGTTAAGACCAAGAGGGCACCAATAACAATTCCAATGGCTTCCGGGAGATTAATGCACCACTGGTCAACTAACAAACACTTAGTATGACCAAAGGTTCCATTATTGGGATGTGGTTTTAATCCCAGGATGTGGCACATCATTGGATAAATATCCACACTGTTAATTGTGCTGTGTTTGTAGCCTTTGTGGAATGCTGGACCGTGGGCAGCTAGAAATGGATGCATACTAGACAAAGAATTATCATAACCATGGTCACCTACTGAAAAAAAGAACAAAATTATGTTAGTTCCTAAAAGAAAGACTGATCTTTCTATTACAAAATAACTTCTTCTAGTGTAAATATACTGATTCTTGCCAGTGTAATTTCCATCCATTAAAATTCTGATTAGTTGGACCAGATGGGGGCCAGAAAGAAAATTCTCTGTTTTGTTCAACTCAGCCATGTCCCCTATTTCACACATATACCCCTTTTCAAAGTGGTCATGACCCGAGGTTTAAAACTATTTCTCAACCTGATGCACCCATCTGTCAGTGCCAGCCCCACTCATTTCACCCATCAATGTCCAGCACGGTGTACATGCAAAGAGCACTAGTGCCCAGAAGCGAGTGGCTGGGCTGAGGGTCCTAAATAACTGGGGAGAGCAGAAGTGAGTAAAACCAGTGAACAGGGAAGAAGCGCATCTGCAGCCTTACCTACATCAATTGCTCCTATGATAAGAGACAGGATTATATTATACACTCCTGGTTTATTGATAGTGAACGAACCCCTCGACCTCTGGAGGGCCAAGTGAGAATGTTACTGAAGGGGTTCTTGTATTCAGTGTGAAGTCTGACCACTTCACCAACCTCTAACTCCAAATCGAACTCACAGAAAAACATGACAGTCCCGGACAGAACCCCAATACCAGATCCTCAGTTTTTAGCTTTATTTTGGCAAATATTCCCTTTTAGTGTACGCCTGTTGCATTGATAAGCTCCCGCTTTCATATGAAGTACAAGTGACTGAGTGGTGAGTATATCAGTTTTGTGCCATATTATCCCTTAATTTCATGTCTGAAATATTTCATAATAGAAATAATGAATGTGATCAACATAATTAACAGAATATATAACTTTATATAGACTTTATAATTTCAATAATGTAAAAACATACATGTATATGTAATAGAAAAAAGTTTAGAAGGGGGGAACTCCATACCTCTGTATTGACAGATTTTTTTCTCTTTTCTAAGCTTTTCTGTGTTTTCTAAGTTTTCAACAGTGAGTATGTAAGTTTTTTTTACATAGAAATTCCATTAACCTTTAGTCTTATCCTTGTCTGAAGCTTCTGATTTGCTATAGATCAAGGATCTGCACACTATAGCCCCTGGCCAAATTCAGCCCTCTACCTGTTTTTGTAAACAAAGCTTCATTTCAACACACCCACATCAGTTTGTTTAATGTCCACTGCTGCTTTTCCAGGACAAGGCAGAACTGAGATAGAAACCAGCTGGCCTATAAAGCCTAACATATTTACTATCTGGTCTTTTACAGAAAAAAGTGTTCTGACTCCTGCTACAGACTACAAAACCAGTTTTTTGTTGTTGTTGTTTTTTTTTAAAGTACTCAAATTGAATTTAACATATGGATAAATAAACTTCAGTTCAGGGGAATCTGTAATTCCCCCCTCTATATCTCCTCAGCTCTAGGAGAGGTTGTGATATACCTGTTCTGGTTTTTGCCCAGTGTTCCAAATAGCTAGAGCACTCAGGTAAATGATTTCATCATTGGGGAAAGACCTTGGGTTACTTGGACAATGCTTTTTAACACATACAAAATTTAAAAAAGCATTTAAACTATCAAATCTCTCCCCTTTTGTTTCTTTACTTCTCTCTCATTTTCTACAAATCAAGAGAACCAACCTTGAAAAGTTACTGACAGTAACTGCAGTGTGGGTAAGAAAGTAAAACTATACCTTTGCCCTTAAGGTCACCTGCCCTCCTCATCTAAGGGTAAACTGTGGTTATAAATTGCTGTTGAATGAAAACCTGAGAATTAATGCAGTCAAAAAGTGAACTGATTAGACAGTGTTAATATCTCTAAATCAAAGTACCCCGTTAACAGAACAATGTCACAATGTGTGATTTATCCCCAGAATACAACAAAAATATCCTAAATACTTACATTTTGGTAATGACTTATTTAACACAATTGTCCAGCCTTCATCAGCAACCAAAATAATAGGCTGAATTCGATCATTATGTTGGTAATGAAATCTGGCAGGAATGTCTTCTTTGAGATAAACATTCATGTGAGGGTTACAGATTTTCAGTTTGTTATAAACCTCTGTTGTATCTGGAAGAAAAAGGAAACAGTAAAGGAAAAAAGTCATGATTGGCTGATAAGGAAAAAAAATACTTCTAACTAGAATAACTGGAAACAAATCCTGAACAATGTCATCTATTAAAAAAAAAAAAATTCTTAAAAAAACAGAGCAATAATTATGTGACACTGTTGGACACACACACCCCTATCTTTCCAAGCATTCACATATCTCTTTTTCATTTTGTGATTCTCTCTGGTGGACTTTTATACAAAAGGGGACATTTTCATGTATAGCTTCCTAAGTAAATATAAACTAATTACATATTGCTGCTAATTACTAATTCTAAGATCAATAGATAAACAGTACATCTCACACAAAAATCCAAGATGTTTTTTAAGGATAAAAATTTCCTTTTTCCATTAGTGTGAATAATTAAGAAATATATCAAAAAGCAAGGAAGTAATCTCTTTGAACATGAACCTTAGGCTAACTGCTTAAAGACTTGTTACTTAAGGGGGAAAACATATAATCGCACTCCGAGTAAGAATATATGGTATGACACTACAAAAAGCCAGAGCTGTATTCTTTTACAAAACCCTCCCTCCTCAACTGCTCCCTTCAAATATCCCTCAGCTAAAAGCTTACTTACTTATTTTGGGAAGTATAGCAGCAACTGGAGTCAAATCTACAAGAGTGTAGCTTGAATGATCAATGCAGAGATCCAAGTTTATCAGTTTGTCCTTAGAGCACTGGGTCATCCCATGATCACTTGTAATGATCACATTGAGATCTTCCCACAATCCTAGCACCTTGAGTTTGTGGACTAGCTCACCAATAAGGTCATCTACTTCTTTCAACACTCTGTACATGTTTTCTTTATCTTCGGGTCCATATTTGTGGCCACTTGCATCTGGTTCTTCCCAATAGAGTGTTGCAAAGGTAACTGGTGGGTTCGAATTCATCAGCCACATGGTAATATTATTCAGTCTCTCCTCAAATGACACTGAAGAGCTATAATTCATAAAATAGGAAGGTGTGGTATTGTGAATGGGTACGTCTGTTCCAGGCCACATAGCAGCGGCACTTGATCTGTTTTCCTGAAGCTGATTGGTCACCCAAATAGGTACTGCCTCATTCCACCAAAAAGGATCCTTGTCATCAAAGTCAGAAAAATGTTTCTTTGTGATTACATCATACATGGAATTAGCCACGATGCCATGGCTTTCTTCATACAAGCCTGTCACAATACTGTAGTGGTTTGGAAATGTTTTTGTGATAAAGACATTTTCAACATGCTCTACCAGGACTCCTTCTTTGATAAAATTCCGGAGATGAGGAAATTCATAGTTCTGTAGATAGTCAGCTCTGAAACCATCAAAGGATACCAGTAGTAACTTGGGTGGCAGGTTATGGGAAGAGTTACCTCTACAACCAGTTATAAGTCCAGAAAATAAAAGTATTACTAATAACTTCATAATGAATGTGTTGAAGGAGAGCAATCAGGGTTCCTAAAATATAAAAACATATTCCATAAGTGGTAGTGCTGTTGTAATTTGGATTAAGTTTCAGAAGTTTAGCCATCAGGAGAAGAGAAGCAAAATTCATAAACTTTTTATATACCAGCTTTATAGCAACTTAAAATTAAGTAAGGTCATTTACTGAAAGATAACTGAATAAAGCTAAAATTGGAAAAAAAAAACAAAAATTGTCTTTACTTGTCCAATTTCCTATTTATACATGTCCTGCCCCATCCTTCATGCTCTGAAGGGTGTATGGGCCATTCTTATATGCCACAGGAATACTCTTGTTTGTTGCTTTGCTCTTCCGTAGTAGCAGACATTATTCTAAAGACTTAATAAGAACAGGGCTGCCAGGCTGGTTCTGTCAGTGCACAAGCAACTCTTGATCTCAGGGTATAAGTTCGCACCCATGTTGGGTGTAGAGATTACTTAAAAAGAAAATCTTTAAAAAAAACTTAATAAGAACAGATGAAGAAAGAAAAATGATCCTTCCAGGCCTTCAGAGGCTCCAGAGAGGGAGATTATTTTTCTAGTTTAACAACTGGTAACCTATATTCCTTTTAAGCCACAGAAATAGGTGGTGGAAATTCTACCATGCAGACTCACCACCAGCTCCTGTTGAAGATACTGGCATGAAAAAGGAGGGTAAGAAATAAATATTACCTAAGAAAAAGATCCCACCTTAATCTATACATTCCCAGTATTTACAGGAGGTTGACAGACAAAGCCTACAGGGACTTGGCTGCCACAATGACTTCTGAAGAAATCCAACAGCTGTTGAAATGAACTTCACCATATCCCTTAAACTTCCTCTTTACTATCAAGGACATAACTAGTTTACCTAATACCCCAGGCTTAGAGCTCTGATTTTGCATTATTTCACTGATTATAAAAACAGCTTTCCCATAATAAATCTCCCTGCCTTCAGTCTCTATCATCTTTGGTCCTTCAGAAAACAGGATAGATGATTTAGGTAGGATGATCCACTTTAGTTGGACAGGATATGTCTTCCACTGTAATAGGAGAGAAGGAGCTAAAGCTAGGTAAGCTAACAGGTCTGAGGGTTGGAGATGAAGGGAGCTGTATTCTCTGTGCTGCAAAAGGTAGGGGCAATTATTGAGAGAGGGGAAAATGGTAAAATGTTCAAGGGTTTGAGAAACAGAAGGTCTGAAACGGCCAACATGGAGAATGGGAGAGCGTACAGGGCAACAGGAGGATGGGTAGTCAAAGCTGAATTTTTAGTGACACTTGACTGGTTTTCTCTAGCAATTTAGAGGCCCTGGCACAGGCCTGAACAAAACTGGCAGCTGATCGTGCCTGCACTTGAGACTCTGTGAGACACTGAAGTATAACAAAGGCAGTTCAAGAACCTGACTAGGGAGTGACTAAAATCTGAACTGCAGCATCTAAGCTCAAACTGATACAGATCGTGAAGTAGAGAGGTTCTGAGGGAAGTTGCAAGGATGTGAAGCTGTAGTCAGAGTGAGGTGAGTGAATTCATTATTTCAGAGTAAGAAGACCCAAGGTATGGCCGCGGGGGGTTTGCACCTTGAGGTCCCAGGCAGAAGCAGCCACAAGCTAACTGGCATGATGATTAAGTTCAGGAGCCATTTATCGTGTGTTCTTCTTTCTCCCAACTAAACCACAATTACTTGAAGGCAGAGACTTTCTTTCCTTCAAACATACCAGCTAGATGACCTGTGTGTACGCAGTCATTCAAACATCTGCTGACTGAAGCTGGGACCGTCTCAGAACTAGGAACCTCAAATTGGGAAGACCAAAGGCACAGAATCTTGTTTGTGAGGGTCTTTGGGTCTGAAAAGTCTACCATTTTAACCTGAGATGGGCTGCCTTCTGAGTGTGGTGCATGCATCATCTGTTGCTGATGCCATCCATGAAACCCAAAACAGGACGGAATAACAAAACCAAATCTGCTCTCCAAAGAGAACAGTACCAGTGCTGTTTGGTACAGGAGACACACTGTACAGACACGGTCCCAGCCATGGCTCCGCAATATCAACTCTCAAGGATCGGGACAGAGAACGGCATTTCTCTTCTCATTCAGTATTTGGTGCCCCCGACCTAGTGTCCACGCACAACTCCCCTCCTCCCTCAGTTGGTCAGTGTAAGTTCAGTCACACGGCAACAGTATGCAGGCTACTGCCCTGGGCTCCAGCAATGGGACAACTTGTGAGGAGGCCACGCTGGTCTCCAGGAAAGCTGGGACTGAGCTGCTTCCCTGTTTTCTCTCTGAGTACACAAATATTTGTTTCCAGTAAGAGTAGACTGAAACAGCAAATCGGTGGTACCGTATCTTAAAGCTACCCATAAATCTATTTTGTACAAACTGTCTTTTTTTTTTTAAAGATTTTATTTTTTTTATTTGACAGAGAGATAGAGAGAGAGCACAAGCTTTTTTTTTTTCAGGCAGAGGTTTTTTTTGAAGCAGGCTCCCCACGGAGCAGGGAGCCCGATGTGGGGCTCGATCCCAGGACCCCGGGATCATGACCTGAGCCGAAGACAGCCACTTAACCAACTGAGCCACCCAGGCGTGCCACAAACCGTCTTCATGTACTGCCCTGGCTCTTTCCCTCCTCAGCAACCAGTTTACATTCCCCACCAATTCCACCGCACAAACTATTCTGCGGGCAAGGCAAGCCTAATGTATGTCAAACTGAATGCATTCTCTGCACCTCCAAATCTTTCTCCTTTCCTTCGTTCCCCAGCCTTTAAAACAGCTTCCCCATTCTCTCACACCAGAACTGCCCTGAGCAAACCATCCGTGCCAGCCTCATCGATTCTATTTGCATATCATCTACCACAGCACAGTAGACAGAAAAATCACCGAGGGGAGCTGGTTACAAGTGCAGCGGCCCAGTCTTTACACCTAGGAAATTCTGACTCAGTCAGGCTAGAGGAGAAGCCAGGAACCTACCTTTTGAACAGCTCCCCATTCTTTCCATCTCTACTGCTGCTGCATACTTCTCAAGGCCCTTAATACCTCCTGTGGGAGCGCTTCTGTCTCTTACCTGACCTTCCCACCTTATTCACCCTCCCCTTTGTCACCCAATATCTGCTCCCAACTTAATCTTCCCGGGTGGAGCTCTGTTCATAACACTCCTCTAGAAAAAAATGTTCACAGAGTCCCCCTGCCTACACAAACACTTCAGCCTGGCAGTCAAGCCCCTGCGGTATCCAGGCCGAACCCACATACACATTACTGTGAAATAGTTACAGAAATCATTGCCAACCGTGCTTTCCTTTACCATCTTTCATCATCGCCATCTGCCTCAAATATATTACAAAGACGTGTAAAAGATAATAGGCATTTATCTGAGTGACTTATAGGTGACCTATAACAGCTCTTCAGTAATAGTTTGTGCTCCCAAACATCCTGAAGTTACCTCCCGCACATGAAGTCTTGCCCAAACACTCTTTTAGGTTATTTTTTTTTAGTCACTCAATACATATCTAATATAACTAAGATTATACCACAAAAATGTATGTATGTGCCATGAGGGCTTTACACTTTTCAAATCTGTCATACTCACAATAGGGGCATAAATAAAGTAATGAATCAGGCTGTCATCCTGAAAGAACAAAGATAAGGGTGAATGAACTCTGTTCTATAAGACCAAAACTTCTTTGTAATGCTGTGCTTGAGAGCCATACACCATTAAGTCTTGTTTCTAACACGATGTCCAAACCTTTTTCAACAAATTTATCTCTAAGAACAGAGGGGTACCAAACCAATTCAAAAATGATACCTGGACAGTTGTAAATCCACATGCCAGAGAATGAATTTGGACCCCTCATCTCATACTATGCACCAAAATTAACTACAAATGGCTCATGGACCAAAATTTAGAGCTAAAACTATAAAACTCTTAGAAGAAAATATAGAAGTAAATCTTCATGACCTTGAGTTAGGCAAACCTTCTTAGGTACAGCACTAAAAGCACAGGTGACCAAAAAAAAAAGAAATAAAGAAATTGGACTTCATTGAGACTAAAAACCTTTGTGTTTTAAAGGATACCATGAAGAAAAAGAAAAGACAACTCACAAAATGCGAGAAAATATTTGGAAATTGTCTGATAAGTGATTTATAATTAGAATATATAAAAAATTGTACCAACTTAAAAATAAAAAGTCAAACAATCCAATTAAAAAATGAGCAAAGGCTCTGAAAAGACCTTTCTCCGAAGATTAACAGGTGGCAAATAAGCACATGAAAAGATGTTCAACATCATCAGGGAAATCCAAATCAAATCCACAATGAAATACCACTTCAGACCCAGGAGGATGGAGAGAATAAAAAAGACCGATAAGAACAAGAGTTAGGGAGGATGCAAAGAAACTGGAACATTTATACAGTGCTGGTGAGAATGTAAAATGGGAGAGCCACCTGGAAAACATTCTGGCAGATCTTTAAAAGTTTAAACCGAGTCACCATATTACCCAGAAATTCAACTACTAGGTATATGTCCAAGAGAAATTAAAACAGATGCTCACACTAAATAAAACTTATACACACAAATGTTCACAGCAGCATTATTTTTAAGGGCCAAGAAATGGAAACAACTCAAATGCCCATCAGGTGATGAAAAATGGACAAATAAAATGTGGTCTATCCATACCGTGGAATATTATTTGACCATAAAAAGGAATGAAGTGTTAACAGACACTACAAGTGGATAAACCCTGACGCATTTTGCTAAGTGAAAGAAGGCAATCACAAAAGATCTCTTACCCTATGACTCTTTAGATGAAATGCCTAAGACAGGCAAATCTATTAGAGATGGAAGTACACTGGTAGTGCTCAGGCAAAGGGTTGGGAGAAATGGGGAGTAAATTCCAATGGTATGAGGTTTGTTTCTGGGGAGATGAAAATGTTCTCATATTCACTGTGGTGATGGTTCCATGATTCCATATAACTGTACACTTTAAGTGTGTGAACTGGATAGAGTGTGAATTATATCTCAATAAAA